GGGGGAAAAAAAAAAAAAAAAAAAAAAAAAAAAAGAAACAATGACTATTGTTCAAAGTTTGGACTAGGTGGAACCATGCCTTGTCAGGAGCTAATGGCTACCTGTAATCCCACCCGCTCTTTATTTATAGTGGAAGGCAAACAGGAAGAGAAGGTTCAGCAAAGAGTACTATGTGGCCTACATGGCCTAGGCTAAACATAGTACGATTATTTCCTGATTAGGACATTCACAGGAAAGGAAAAGAAAAGGATACATAACGTAACTGTCTCCTGGGGCTGTGCCATCCAGGGTCTACAATATTAATCTAATCTAATCTAATCTAATCTATGGAGGAGAAAGGGAGTAGGGAGTAGGGAGGAGGGGAAGGGCCATCTTCAGGCTTGGCTTGCATCAGGTCGTAACTCGAGGATCCACTGTACAACTGTATCAAGTGCCCAGGAGGTGGGGGCAGAAATGTGGAAGACCAGTGACCACCACCACTGGCCCTTTGGTGGATAGTCAGTCATTAACTCAGCTGCAATTGGCATACCTTCATCCCTTGCCCAAGAAAACAACCCAAGAATTCTATTTAGAAACATCAAGTTCAAATCTAACAATCTCTGAGTAACGCACAATAGTTTCTCTACCAGTTTCAGATGTGATCCTGAAGAGAAACCCTGGTAACTGAGACCTTGTCTCAAAATAAAGAGTTGGGGAGAGCTGGGCATGGTAAGTCCAGCACTCTGGGAGGCTAGGGCAGGCAGATCTCAAATTCAAGCTCATCCTGGCCAAATTTAGCAAGAATCTCTCTCAAAATAAATAATTGCCTGGGGTTCTAGCTCAGTGTGAAGGCCTTGTGTTCAATTCCCAGCATTGCTAACAATAATAAATTAAATAAAAGAAAAAACTCAGAAAAGGGCCAGAGACATAGTCCAGTACTGGGCGAGGGGGAAGTAAATTCACAAACCCATCACATTCACATGCTACATAAAAGCAGATGGGGGCTGGGGATTTAGCTCAGTGGTTCTGCCGCCTGCCTTGCAAGCACAAGGACCCAAGTTCGATCCCCAGTACCACAAAATAAAATAAAAGCAGATGGTAGTATATTACCAGAGGCAGAGTGAACAGAGTGTACACGGGGCAGGGAAAGGAGGGGTAGATACAAAAAAAACAAACAAAAAACTCTCCCATTTTTTAGTAGACCAAGCTACTTAAATCTGGGCTAGAGAGCAAAACAGTTTGAGAACAACCAGAATTAAGCACTCATTCTGCTGCATAAAAGACATGAAGACTATAGAAGAAGAAAAAAAAAGGCCAGTTCTCCTTGACTAGTTGCTCTCTTTCTCCCAGACTCAAAGTTAGGGGCTGGGTGAATGGATTATTTTTCTTTTTGGTACCAGGGATTGAACTCAGAACCTTGTGCTTAGGAAGCAGGTGGCGGAACCAGAGCTAAATTCCTGGCCTTTTTCTTTGAGACTATCTGACAAAGTCACATAGTCATCTCTCAGGATTTTTGGAGAACCAGGTCCAGGATGCTCAAGTCCCTTATATAAAATGGTGTACTATTTCCATATGACCTGCACACAAGCTCTCATACACTTTAAATCATATATTACTTGTAATAGTTAATACAATGTAAATGCTATATCAATAGTTGCTACACTATATTCTTTAGGAAGGAATGAGAACAAGCTTGTACATGAACAGTAAAGGAACAATTAAAGATACTTTCAGGGTTGGGGGATATAGCTCAGTGATAGAGCACTTAAGTAACATGTGCAAAGCCATGGGCTTTATCCTCAGCACAGCCAACAAAGAAAAGCAAAACTTCAATCTGTGGCGAGCTCTGGATATGGAGGGCTGACTATAATCATCTTGGCCTAGGCTCAGTCAACTGGCTGATAGACTGTAAACTTAACTGCCCCCACACCCAAATTCAAGGGTTTATGTTTAAAGAACTTTAAGCTTTCCTTCTCCAAAGTTTTAAGACGTTAAACCTCAGATGTAGAAATTGAGATCCTTCTCTACCACTAACTTCAAGAGCAGAAGTCAACATGACACAAAGTAGAAATATATATTCAACTTTATTGCATTAGAAAAATTAAGCCACATGGTGACCATAATATCCACGTCCTAGGCAGGCTGTCATCCCACTGTCCCCTTCAGACCAATATATACAAACACATACACACTGTATTGAAGACTTTTAAAATGTGAAATGATACAATGGATATTCCATCCTCCCCCTCCTCACAGCCAACTGATACACATCATCTGTTATCCAGACATGGAGGCGTTCTCATGGGAGACTGAACACATGCCAACCAAAGCAGCCATAAGGCATCCGGGCCCAAGGGAGATATTGGCAGATATTTTGGATGTAAGGTTGAAACTACCACCATCTTCCAACAGCTGAAGTTGCAACATGAGTCCCCATTTCAGAGGAGTCAGAGGCACAGTGCCAAGGACATCAAAGCCAAGCAAGAGTCACTGGGGAAAAAGGAGAGGATAAATATCCCCCACAGACAAAGGCAACCCACTCACACCTCTATATTGAACAGACTCTTTTTCCAGGGCAGAGAACATCCACACAGACAGCACCGGTCTCATTAACAGTTCCCTGGGAACACCGGTTCCGTGAGCTTTCCTGCTGGGCCACCTGGTAGGACGCACTGAGGCCAATGTTTCAAGGCGGCTGGTGCAGAGGGAGGTCTTACTGTACCCCTCTGGAAGGGTGTTCAGGAAGGCCTTTGGGGAGCTCGGTGTGGGCTAAATGACCTCTGACGGCCCAGGGATTCCCAGGCAATGGGTTTTCCAGTAATCCCTCCAGTGACTCCATCAGCCTAACGAAGACAGAGAGCAGGGTGAGCACCACACCCAGCAGGTACAGATTCAAAATATACTTCATAGCTGAAAGGTTGCTGCTGCGCCTTGTAGAGTAGCAGAGCTGCCTTCTTCTGGTGAGCCTCTGGATCCTAAGAAAAGAGGAAGGGGTTAATCTACAGCCTTTGGGGATATTTGCACATTTAGCCTCAACCCTCTTTTGTCTTCCCAGGAGCCAAAGGAGTGGCTCAGCTAGCCAGGGAAAGGGATCAAATATGGTCTCCCATCAGAAAATCTCCAAGTATGTTTACCACAAACTCCATAGCCACTGGGCCACACTTGGTTCTCAGACTAATTCAAAGGCGCTATTTTAAACTTTTTCTTCTCTTAAAGACTGTTCTGGGTAGGTGCAATGCACCAACTCTGTGCTACTACTGTGCAGGAACCTTAAGAGGAGGCCCAGTCAGTTTGTGGGAGGAAGGAGGAATCATGAAGAACATGCCCTGGTGAGTTGGGTGGGGTGGTGCAAGCATGTGATCCCAGCACTCAGAAGGCTGAGGCAGAAGGATCATTGTGAGTTTGAGACCAGCCTGTCTCAATTACATAGTCAGACGCTGTCTCAAAAAACAAACAAAGAAACCACACACACCAAACAAACAAACAAAAAACATGCCCTAGAGCAGAGGTGGCTGAACCAGGAAGATCGCTGCTAGTTCAAGCCTATCCTGGACTATACAGTGAGTTCAAGGCCAGCCTTGACCACACAGTGAGAACCTGTCTCAATATAACCAGAAAAAGAACATGCCTAGAAAAAGCAACCTGCCTAGAAATCTCTCCCACAGTCAGTCAGACTCGGGTTAACCATAAAACTTCTGAAAGTCAAAAAGTAATTTTGAGAGACAAATCTATCAAGTTCACTTATTCAACAAATATACCCTGAACACTTACAGAGTCAGGCATCCTGGGAAGTGGTAGGGATAGAACCCTGCCCTCACCGGGCTATTAGTGCCACAATCCAAGCACCGCGATAGGAAGATGTTCAGGGTGCTTTGGAAGGGAATAGCTGGGATGCAGCCCAGTAGCACCAGCGGGCGTGGGATGCAGCCCAGTAGCTCCAGCGGGCGTCGGGCGGGCTACAGGGATTTTGTACTAAGGACACTGAAAGAAAACAGCTGGGGCGGCTGTCTGGGGACGCGCAGGAAGGCAGCCGGCGCCAGTCTCAGCGCGGGAACCCGAGGAGGCCCGCCCAGCACGCGGTCAGGAAGAGGGGGCTAAGGAGCCGGGAAACCGGATCTCGGGCCGGAGAAACCCAGCGCCACTCACCTCGAAAGGCAAGATCCGGGAGAGGCGTTCTAGCTATCGCTGCAGATCGCGCAGGAACTGGAAGGACACTCAGCCAAACGGTAGCAGCAGCGGAAAACGCAGCCACGTCGACCCAGCAGCGGACCCGGTCCCTGCCCTTAAAACGGCGGCGCCACCCACGGGGAGCAGGCGCACGCGCACGCGCACTGGGGCCGCACGCGCACGCAGGCACGCACGTACGCGGCCCCGCCCTGCGCGGAAGGCGTCGGGATGGACGCAGAGCGAAGTAACTGCTGGAAGTCCCTCTACCCGGTTCCGGCTAGGGTTGAGTCATTGCGGTCGGGAGTGGGATTTACCGCGTGTGTTAATTCCGTCTGCTTTTTGCTGCTGCAGGAAACGTTGAAGCAGCCAGGAAGCAGCTTTACCCTCTATCTCGACGGCAGGAAACAGCTGGAGTGAACCCGCTCCTTGTACCCTGTCAGGGATGGAGTGCTGGCCTCGGGGGAGGGCAGATTTACCAGTGGGCTTCAAACCCCTATCCCCACCCCTTGTTTTCTCCATTTCAGGACCTGAAGAGTGGATTTTATTTGACTTCTTAGAGGAACCAAGATTCAGGTGCCACCGCCCCCCTTCCAGAGTCTAAGGTTTAGTTTCCCACCGAGCTCTCGGGAATGGTGAAGTCATTTTTCATCACTTCAAACTCTATTTTCTGAGCCTGCCGCCCAAAACACACACACACACACACACACACACACACAGGGCATTAACCTTTACACTGCGTTGCATCCCCAGGACCTTACGCTTGAGAGGCAGGTGGCGGCACCACTGGGCTAAGTTCCCTGAAGCTGTTTGTCTTTTTTTTTTAAAGACAAGGTCTCACTAAGTCTATAAATTGTCCGGGCCGTCGTCTTCCTGCCTCACGCTCCCAGAGTGATGGGATTACAGAGGTGCCTTGCCATGCCCTGCTTGTCCTGTTGCTTAAAAGAATGTGGAATACTCCCGGTCTTGGGGTGAGCTCCTTTAGGCTATGGGCTAGTCTCGTCACCTTCTGTGTCCTCGCTCTCCTCATCTAAAGAGAGCATTGGCCCCCAGAGGGTTTTAAAGGAGGCTTTTAGCTTGAACTAAAGGGCTAGGAAGTCACAGCCTCACTCCCAGACTTGGGGGCTTGCACCGTGTGTGCATACTGACATGTTCACCATATTATGTTGTTAAAAGCTAAGAGCATAAGTGTGTAAAGTATGTATACCGTGCTGCAGTTTGTATTAAAAACCACAGAATAGAATGTATATGAGATACCTCTTCACATCCACTGGGATGGCTAACATAAAAACAAAACCAGAAGGGAACAGTGTTGGTGAGGCTATAGAAAAAAAATGGAAGCTTCCCCTGTTGGTGCTGGGACTGTAGAATGGTAAAGCTGCTATAGAAAATAGTTTGCTTCTCAAAAAATTAAACAGAGTTACCATAGGATTTGGAAATTCCACTCCTAAGTATATTCAAGAAAATTGAAGACTAATTCACACAAAACTGTGCACACAAAAAATTTGAACAATGACATATATATTTGGTGATATAAAGACTTAGTTTTGTAGACTGAAAAGTGTACACGGATGTTTATAGCAGCATTATTTATAACAGCCCCGCCCAAAAGAGGAGGAGGGGGAGGAGGGGGTGGAGGGGGTGGAGGTGGTGGAGGTGGAGGTCTAGCCAGGTGTGCTGGTGCACTCCTGTAATCCCAGCACCTGGGAGACAGGCAGGAAAATCAAGGAGAGTTAAAGACCAGCCTGAACTACATAATGAGACCTTGTCTCAAAAAACCAAACACCAGTATGAACCTAAACAAAATTGACTACTCTAGGAAAGTAAAAATAAGATGAACTTGAAAACCAGTAAATAAGATGACATCAAAGAGGGCTGGACGTGGTGGCTCATGCCTGTAATCCCAGCACTTGGGAGGCTGAGGCAGGAGGATCACTATGAGTTTGAGACCAGCCTGGACTACATAGTTCCAGGTCAGTCTCAGCTACATAGTGAGACCCTGTCTCAAAAAACAAAACAAACAAACAAGTAAATAAAAAGATGAGATTAAAGAGGGCTGAGGATTTAGCTCAATGGTTTCACCACCTGCCTCACAAGTGCGAGGCCCAGAGTTTGATCCCCAGTACCAAAAACAAAACAAAACTACTAAAGATGAGATCAAGGAGCAGAAATAAAACTGAAGCAGTTCTTTTCTTTGGGAGGAAAGTAGATTGATAAATTGAGAATTTTAAATACTCATATCAAGATGTTAAGGGTAGGCCTTCTTTTCCTTCCCTTCCTGAACAATTTAGTCTGCTCCACTGGGTGGAACACAGCAAAGTTTCTGCAGTGAAGAGAACCGTGACCCTGGGGAATTTCTATTCACAGCAGCTCCTCAGTGTCTGGAACCTGTTCAATAAATCTCATGAATGGCTGGATGAATGAATGGCTCATTCTCACTTCTTCTTGGACCCTGATCACATGTCATTTCTCAGGGAGACCTGGGTAATTGCCCTGTAGAAAGCAATACCCGACTTCCTCTCCATCTCCCTTAATCTGCTTCATTTTTTCTTCATATTGCTGATTACTATCAACCATATTATATTTATTTGTTGATTCTCTGTCTTCCCCACTAGAATGTAGCTCCTTGAGAAGGATTTGGCTGTGCTGGGAATTATTGTGTACCAAATCTAGAAAAGTGTCCAGCATATAGTAGGTACTGAACAAATATTTAATGAATGAATCATTTTCTGTATCTATTTCTTAAGTTTTTTTTGAAAAAAAAGCAACAGCTGTTCAATGACTAATTCTATTTATCATTTTGTTTTTGTTTGTTTTGTTTTGTTTGAGACAGAGTCTCACTATGTAGTTGAGACTGACCTGGAACTCAATATGTAGCCCAGGCAGGTGTCAAACTCACGGGGATCCTCCTGCCTCAGCCTCCTGAGTGCTGGGATTACAGGAGTACTCCACCACGCCCAGCTATTTATCAATATTTTTTAGGCAACAGCACTTTAACAGTGCTCTGGATAGTGAATTTTTTTTCTCCCTTGGGTATCTGTTAATTTTACAATTGCAGAGAAAAATTTGCTAACATTTTTAACATTTCCTAAATTTACTGCTTGAGTAACATTGTGAAAATGTGTAACTAAGGCAAAACAAATACATGAATTGGGATGGAGAAATTGGGTCAAGAGCTTGGGGCAAGGCTGTGGGTGTAGCTCAGTGGCAGAGTGCTTACTTAACATGTTCAAGGCCCAGGGTTCAATCCCCAGTGCTGCAAAGCAAAAACAAATGAGGCAAATGTGACGTACACACCTGTAATCCCAACATGGAGGAGGCTGAGGCAGGATGATCACTAATTTTCAGGCCAGCCTGAACTGTATAGTGAGACCCTGTCTCAAAACAAAACAACAACAAAAACCACCTATACACGTGCACTGGCAATGTAGCCTCATGGTAGAGCACTTACCTAGCATGAGATTTGTGAAGCCCTGGGTTCCATCCCCAGTACTGTAAACAAAACAAAATAAAACAACAAACTATAAGAACCATTTAAGTGTAAATATAAATGAGGGAGGGAGAGAGACTGGACTCAGTGTGGATTTACATTCTTAATTATTAACATTATTTTTCACAAGCCAGGATTCTTTTATTTTATTTTTTTTTTGAGACAGGGTCTCATTATGTATGAGAATGACTTTAATTATTAACATTATTTTTCACAAGCCAGGATTCTTTTATTTTATTTTTTTTTTGAGACAGGGTCTCATTATGTAGCTGAGACTGACCTGGAACTCACTATGTAGCCCAGGCTGGTCTCAAACTCACAGTGATCCTCCTGCCTCAGCCTCCTGAGTGCTGGGAGCACAGGCGTGCACCACCATACCTGGCTCAGGATCCTTTTCTTTATTAGTCACAATAGGCACGGTGCCCTGAACCTCTAGACTTGCAAAAATTCTCAGAAATATTTGAGATCTGGAAAATAAAATATACTGAATTTAAAACACTTTTATTTTATTTCTTTAAAACAGGATCTTGCTCTATAATTCAGGCTGGCCTTGAACTCACTATGTATCCCAGGCTGGCCTCAAACTCATGGTGGTTGTCCTGCCTTGGTCTCTTGGAGTGCTGGGATTATAGGCATTTGCCGCCACACCTGGCTTGTGGGTACATCTTAACATGATGAAAATGTCCTGTTACAGCCATGTCTAAGGCCTGTGAGAGTTTTAACGTGAGAATGTGCAGATCATTGAAGTTTTATAGTTTGCCAAGCTTCAGGTATTCTATTATGAACATATACAGCTGATATTCTTGGGGAATTGGTTCCTGGATTCCCCTACCCCCAGGAATAGCAAACTCGGACATGTTCAGGTACCTTATATAAAATGTTACGTATTTGTATGTAACTTTTGAGCATTTTCTCTGAACACTGTGTCATGTTTGGACTACTTATGATACTTTACCTCTAGATATTTGTAACAGATTGAACCCATGGCCTGGCGTGTGCTAGGTAAGTGCCCTACCACTGAGATACATATATCCCTAGCCCCTTACCACAGATTACTTGAGTACTTTTTAAATACAGGGTAAATGCTAGGTAAATAGTTGTTGTACCGTATTTTTTAGAGAATAATTTTTAAAGCCCTTAAATGTACAGATGAATTTTTTCTAAATATTTTTAATCTGCAGCTCATTGAATCTAATAAATGTGGAACCCAAGGATGTGGAAGACCAATGGTATTATAAAAAGAAGAAAATGCAGTGACTGGGGAAGCATGGGCACAAGGAAGCTTGGGGAAGGTTTGAGGCAAATTCTCAATTTCTTCATCGAATGAATGCCCTTGGAGAGCTCTCTTTAGGTAATAAGGATCAAAACAGATCGTTGCAGAAGTGGATTTAAGAAAGTTTCAGTTGGGCATGGTGGCACATGTGTGTAATATCAGCTTTCTAGGAGGCTGAGGCAAGAGGATCACGAGTTTGAGCCTAGCCTGGACAATTACACAGTTTAGTGAGACCCTGTCTCAGAATTAAAAATAAAAAATAAAAATAAAAAGGGATGTAGCTCAATGTGCAGGTCCTGGGTTCAATCCCCATTGCCAAAAGAAAAGAGCATTTACTCTTTGTATTGTCCACCAAATAATGTCCATGCAGCCATTTAGGATTAGTCTGTGTCGACCACTAAATTCTCTCTTCCTCTTGTGAAACCTTCCGAATACTGAATGGTTTTTTTGTTTGTTTGTTTGTTTGTTTTTTTGAGACAGGGTCTCACTTGTAGTGAGACTGACCTGGAACTCACTGTGTAGCCCAGGCTGGTCTCGAACTCACAGTGATCCTCTTGCCTCAGCCTCCCCAGCGCTGGGATTATAGGCGTGTGCCACCACGCCCGGCTCTCAATACTGAATGTTAACATCTAGAGGGGGCCTCCCACTTCTGTCATCTTGTTTGGTCTGTCACAGTTGGCTCTGAGGATGGGAGCCCTGGGCAGCTGCACATGGACCAGGGCTGGATTGAGCTTCATGCTACTTGGCAAATGTCTGCGAGGCACTTGGAGGTGGTGGAGATCTGCTATCTTGGCAGGGAGGTGGAAGTGGGGTGTCAGCTTTGGGAGGCGGTGGGTCTTCTGTTTTTTGTCCTGTTTTCATTCAGAATCACAGTGCCCACCCTCCACATGCCCCATGTTTACACATGTATGCCCATGTGGGCACTGTCTCTCTCCTAGCTGGCTGCACCTCTCCCCCAGATGTTTCTGCTTGCCAGCTGGCCGACTCCACAACTCTGCTCCAGGTTGGCTAGTGAAGGGTAGGAGATTGTCCCAGCCAGGAAGGACAGAAGCTGCTGCTGGGAAAGGGACAAAGAGGGGAAGAGGACACCCATGCTTTTTATCCTTTTCCTGACTGCCCCCCTTACTGTAACTAGGCCTGGAGAGAAAGTTTGTCCATTTTTTTTTTCTTTTTATTGAGTTTATTGGTACAATCTAGGTATACAATACAATTACATTCATCATTGGGATTCTGTACCTTTACATAATAGGTCTTGATTCTCATTTCTTCCCCTTGTCCCTGCCCTCCCTTCACCCCTTCTCCCCTCCCCATTTACAAACACTTTATTTCCATTTTTTCAGTTTCTCATATTTTTTTCCTCTCCCTTATTACCTTTCCCCCACCCTTCCCACTTTCCCTACACCTTTAGCCCTTTACTTCCTATTTGACATTATTAATTGTCTCATTAGGATCCTGTGTACTATTATAGTTTTTCACACCAAAGAAACTATTCGGTATTTCAGTTAAAGAAAACTCTGTACGAATATTAAAAATAGGGAATCCTAAAATAAAACTAAAAAGGAAAGTAAAAGAGAAAAGGCAATGATGTACCATTAAAATAATCCTTAATTCTGGAGATGAAAATGGTCCCTGAACATATTTAAATTGCTTCTCGCTCTTATAGTCTTATCTTATTCTTTTTTTCATTATTTAGAGAATATTTTATTAGTTTCTGTAATCAAACCCACATAGATATGACCTTACATATTTAGTATGATGTGTTACCCCTGTACACAAGGGAAAAAAATAAAAAATAAAAATGAATTACCATTTCTAGACCAATATTGTTGTCCATTTCTGTACAATGCCAACTCAACACAGTAAATTGGGGTGACTTCTTTCCAAAGTTGGCAGCACTGTTAAAGTTTCCCAAAATTCAATTTATATATATATATATGCATGTATGTATACATGCATATATATATATATTTATATAAAAAGACTAATAATAGTATGTTATGCATCGATAGCAGCAACTGCTTTTCCAGGTTCTGCAATCATCTGAACAAAATTATAGACATTCAGCACATTCCATTAAAAAAAAAACCAAAGAAAAGAATAATATCCAGACAACAAAGAAAAGAATAATATCCAGACAACAGCAAAGTTCTGTTGCTGTTGTGGTACCTGGCACCATTTTTTCTATTAGCCTCTTAATCATCATCTGGAAAGAGAACATTCTAGAGTAATATCATTAAATGTAGCTCTGATAAAGCACAGTCCCTACTATGTATCATAAAGCAGGTACTAGATATTTTACATTCATAGAGGTATGATACAGTACTGTCCTACATCAATAATACTAGATTCAGTTTTGGTTTGAAATTTACTTTGTCTGCAAATAAGATTGCTACCCCTGTTTTTTTCTGAGCTCCTGTCACATGGAGAATTGTTTTGTATCTTTTCACTTTCAGTCTATGGGCTTCTTTTTGCAATTGGTGTGTTTCTTGTATACAACATATTGTTGGATTTTGCTTCTTATTCCATTTTGCCAGTCTATTTCTCTTGATTGGTGAGTTGAGGCCATTGACATTGCTGGTTATAACTGATATGTACTGACTTATTATTGACATGTTATTGGCCTTTTGTTGACTCTTTTTACTTTTTCACCTTCTCCTTTTAATTTCTTGCCTTGCCTATTTGATTTGCTCTGTTGGGCCTCATGGTGTTGTTGCCTTCATTGTCTTTTTCTAGGATCTTGTTTAGAATTGCTTGTAGTGCTGGTTTGGTATTCATGTAGTTTCTCAGGTGTTCTTTGTCGTGGAAGTGTCTTATTTCCCCATCCATTTTGAAAGAGAGTTTTGCTGGATACATCAGTCTAGGTTGGAGGTTGTTCTCTTTTAGTACTTGAAATATCTCATTCCAGGCTCTCCTTGCCCCAAGGGTTTGTGTTGAAAAGTCTGCTGTGATTCTGATGGGCTTTCCTTTGTATGTGATTTGTTTCTTTTCTCTTACTGCTTGTAGTATTTTGTTCTTCTGTTGGGTTTCTGGGATCTTGATTATTATATGTCTAGGTGTAGATTTTTTTTTATTGTAGCTAGTTGGGGTCCTATATGCCTCAGTTATCTGAATGTCAAATTCTTCCCCTCTGTTTGGGAAGTTTTCTGTCATTAATTCTGCAAACAGCTTTTTTAAGTCATTTGTATTTTCTCCTGCTACTTCATGTATTCCTATCAGTCTTATGTTATTCTTCTTTGCATCATCTAGGAGTTGTTGGATCGATTTCTCATGATCTCTTACTGTTTTTAAGAGACCTCTCTTTTCATGGTCACTGACTGCAATCTTATCTTCTATATCTGAGAGCCTATCTTCGCATTCTTTTATTCTGTTGCATACACTTTCAATAGAGTGTTTAATCTCCTGGATATCTGTTTGATTCTGTTTTATGGATTCCATTTCTTTCCTATGTTGGGTGTTTATTTTTTCCATTTCTTTCTTATGCTGGGCCTTCATGGCTTCTATCATGGTCCTGAGCTCATCTATTTTTTCTGTCAGTTTCTGCTCTAGTCTCTCGAATCACAACTTCCATTTTGCTCACTATCTCTATGGTTATCTGGGAAATTATTTCTGTTTTGAATTTTTCCAGAGCCTGATTGATCAGTCTTGTTACTTCCTGTGCTATGGGTCCAGGGAGTCCTGGTGGTTCACTATTGGCCTTTTTGTCCTCATTTGCCCTACTGTTTGCCATTGGTAAACTGGAAGTCTGTCCTTGTGTCTTGGTTAAGTGTTTTCTCATTTTTACTTTTGTTGTCGGACTGTCCTTGGTTTAATCTCTGGATTATCACCCAAATCTTCCTGATATAGTTGCGCCCTAGCTTCTGTGTCTCTAACGACCCACAGACATTCTCATTTTCATAACATCAGAGAAAACAGCTCATCAAATCAACGGCAATGCTTTACCCCAACTGATACAATCAGCAACACATTAAGATCAAGCACAACTTGGACACTGACCACCTGTGGTAGTCACTAGTCTATCACCCTTAAATCATTTGAATTAAATTGAAATCAAGAAGCAGTCTAGAACATGTCTGCAGTGAACAAACTTTTCAATATAGTGTATTTACCATTTAATGGCTCAGATAGAGCGAGGATGGAAGACCCCTGATCTCAGTTAGCTGATGGCTGAACCCCATGATGCTGACTGACCTCGGGCTGCAAGGCCCAGATTGAGTTCCCCAACCTTCTGAATGGTTGAACTCTGCAGTGTTCTATTACAGGTTTCCCACGCCCTTTCTTTAAAGATGTTCAAAGTTGGGAACTCAGAAAAATACCCTTGATGACCACCTCTGCCTCTGCAGAGTGGGTCCAAAGACTGGCACAGTCAGGAGGTCTGAGAGTGTGTGGGGGGCTTATGGGAGTTCAGGGGTGCCCAGGTGGCTACCTTCCCGGCGCTTGAGCGATGGCGGCTGGGTCAGGAGCAGGCGTGGCTCTCCTTCCCGTGGTGGATCGGGGCCCAGGCTACCTCCCGGCGCTTGAGCGATGTTTGTCCATTTTTTATGCAGCCTCAATGAAAATGACCTAGATGACTTCTCCTAAGCCCTGCTCCCAGGAACCCTCTGCCCGCCAGGTCCTAAAAGGCTGGTGAAATAGCTTAGTGTCCTGGCTCCCAGAAATTCTCCCATCCCTGGTTCTTTTCCATGTTGGTGTATCAGTTGCTGGTGTCATAAAATATGCCTCTCAATAGATAAACATACTCTTTTTTCCTATTTGGTTGTCAGATCATCTTTTTATTGAGATACTTTCTTTCTTTTTTTTGACACAGGATCTCCCTATGCAGTCTAGGCTGGCCTCGAACTGTTGGTGAACCTTGTGCCTTCGCCTCCTGAGTGCCGGGATTATAGGCATGTGTCACCACACCTGGGGTTACTGAAATAATTTTTTATGCTTCTTAACTAGCTGGGCACTCCACCACACCATTGTTGATGTCATCCATGATTTCATGAGGGTGCTGCCAGCCATCAACATTGCAGCCCACAGACTGGGCAATCCGTAGTATCTCTTTAATGGTTCCAGAAAGATCTCTGGCTAAAGAACTGTGCCACATCTGCAAGCAATGTTGACAATCTTCTCAAAAGTGTTATTTCCAGTGTGCTTAACTGTGGAAAAAACGATCAAGATTTTGTCACAATCCAAGTCCAGAAGAGCACATAGTATGGTCCTCCACGTACATCTAGGCTGTTTCCATGCTTTTAGCACAGAGACTCCACATGAGGAACAACCCTGTTTCCTCAGCTGGGATCACTATCAGCTAACTAGATAAGCATGCTCTTAAAAATTGTTACAAGAGGCTAAGCATAGCAGTGAATGCCTATAATCTCAGCACTCGGGAGGCTGAGGCAGGAGGGTCACTGTAAATTGGAGGTCAGCCTGAACTACATAGCAGGCCAGCCTGGGCCACAGAATGAGACCCTTCTCAGACAGACAAACACACAACAAATGATTGTTACAAGGGTGGGGGTGTGGTGTGGTGGTATACTCTGGCAGGCTGAGGCAGGAGGATCACTAGTTCTAGCCCAGCCTGAGCAACTTAGTAAGATCCTCTCAAAAATAAAATAAAATAAGAGAAGGGGATGTAGTTCAGTGTGAAGGCTCCAGGTTCATTCTCCAGGACCATTGAAACATCACGGATGGGATATAGCTCACTGGTAGAGCACTTGCCCAACATGTACAAGGTCTTGGTTGGATCCCTAGCACCAAAAGAAGCAAATAAAATCCTATTAATTTATCTCCTCTGTTAAGATGGTTATTACTGCCAGAAGTTTAAGATTTAAAAATATATTAATATATTAACTCCTTAGTCTGCCCTAGCACAAACCCTGCTCTGCCTTCACCTTGGCTGGACTTGCCCATTTCGGTTCACCAAATCCGGCTCAGCTGCCCCCCAGCCTAGAGCACTGGGCAAACCTCTTGCACTCTCAAGATCCAACTAAGAAAAAAATGATCTTGAGCCCAATCAAACGTCTCCATGCTTGCCTCCAGTCCTGTTCCTGTCTTCTCACAAAACTTTCAAAATTAAGCAATTCCTGGCCAAGAAACAAAAGGAAAATCATTTGATTCCTCAATGAGTTCAGTTAAAAGTTGGTTCGAAAATCAGGTACAACTTGAAGAGGCGACACAGAGGGAGGACCGAGCTGGGGCTATGAGGGATTGCACAGGCGCTGCAA